CTATTTATATAGCATTTACATTGTCTTAGGTATTATTATTATTATTATTATTATTACTGAAAGCTGAACTAGGCAGAAATATTATAGGCAGTCAGATAGAGATGGAACCTCAAGAGAGTCAGTGCAGGAAATGAAAAATTACAGCTGTGGCCGGAGACATATTTGCGAGAAGTCAGGCCTCAAGATAAAGACAAGACGACCAGGCCAAAGATAAGTGGCAACACCTGGCCTAACAATTTCTGGATAAACATCAGTCACCTCACTGGGTGACTAAGACCCTCGGACTCATCCCTTCCTGAAAAGTTCTTTATTCTTTCCATGTACAGTTGGTACAGGACTTGCTTCCCCATTAGACCGATATTACCTAAGCAGCTATACTTACAATCTTATTGGTTGATCAAAGCTTTAACCCACATGGTTGTGCTCTATATAACTTCCCCTGAAAAGTAGGGTCTTCGGGAACCCACTCAGGTCCTCTCCTGCCTCTCAGGAGCTGTATTTCTTCCTCTCAAATACTTTCTATTTTTAACCTCCTCTGTTTCTTTCTTTCTTTTTTCCTTTTTTTTTTTTTTTTGCTGAACCAGGGATTGAACTCAGGCCCTTGCGCTTGCTAGGGAAGTGCTTATTCCACTGAGCCATCTTCCCAGCCCCACCTCCTCTGTTTCTTAAAATTCATTCTTCAATTTTGGGGAACACAAACTTGGCATATCAGACATCTAGCAGGCTGGGAGTATAATATTGCCCTTATATCATTTTCAGGTCCTATAATTATTCATTGATAAATATCCCACAGATGACTTAAAGTACATGGGAAGATTCACCTAGGCTTATGAAATCTACATTACTTAGATAAAAGACATTGGCATCTGTGCATTTTGATATTCAAGAGATGGGAGTGAGGCCCTGGAAATAACCCTCCATGGATACCCAGGACAACTGTAATCCCACCACTAACATCAATTCAATGTCAGCCTTTTTTTTTTTTTGTGGAACCGAGGATTGAACTCAGGCCCTTGTGCTTGCCAGGCAAGCGCTTATTCTACTGAGCCATCTCCCTGGCCCCTCAGTGTCAGTCTTGAGCTAGAACCAGCTTTATACTAATCCCCTCCACTACCCTTTGATATCAAGCCATTAATATTCCCAAGTTTTGCAACTTCAGAATAAATTGCCCATGTTCACACCCCACCCATGACTAGAAGAGAGATTTCATCTCAGGCTTTTGTAGACAATCATAATCTGCTGTATTTTTTTTTCTTTAACAAAATAGGGAAGTGTTTGTAGTATGAGCCAAGCAGCAAAGGAGACCCTAAATGACTCCATGACTTAAAGTGGAAAAGAGTGTTAAACTGATGCAAGGGGGCTGGCCAGATAGCTCAGTGGACTAAAGCGCCTGTTTAGGCAGGTGCAGGGACCAGGGTTTGATCCCTGGCATGCCATGCCAGCTCGCCCTTGGGGCACGCTGAGACAGTGACTGACACTGGTGGTGCACACTTGTAATCCCAGCACTTGGGAGGCTGAAAACAGGAGGATCACTGTGAGTCTGATCTGTATAGTGAGACTCTGTAGACCCTGTATACATTAAAACAAAAACAAAAACAAAAACAAACAAAAAAAAAAACTGATGCAAAATGCATTGTGTAGGAAGTTAAAGCCACAGTGACTTTAGATTTTGACGAAGAGCCAGTGGCACCCAGGACAGGTCAGAGTAGCTGCAAAGGTCAAAGGAGCTATTGAAGGTTTAACAGTACAGAAGGCCTCTCAAGAATGGGAGCAGAGGACCTGGGACGGGGCAGTATCAGCACCACCAAACGCCTGTAATCCCACAGTCTCTAATACACAGGGCTTCATCAACAGAGAAACTAAGGCCAGGTTACCAGTCCAGAAAGTTGACTGCTTGCAGGAGTGAATCTAAATCCATGTCTGCTCTCGACCACAGAGAACAGTAGCAGGGCCAACAACAATGAAGCAGGGTGCTACTGAGGGCTCTCCTCACAGATTCAGTGGTACCCATGGCCTCCCACCAGGTCAGTGGTCAGAGATGCAGAAAGTCCCAAGCTGTTGCCCTGGAGGCTTTGGCTCCTGGCAAGAAAGGATACACTTGCTCTGTGCTAAGGGGGTTCCATAAACATCTGCTGAACGGGAGGGAAACATTCTTAACTGTTTCAAAGCCAAAAGATAGAAAGAGTGTTGTTTTCCATTTCCCTTGAAATGAAATCTGTTATCTAGGAGTTTCCCAAACTTCAATCCCCAGAAAATCAGTGCCTAAATTTAGATTGTCCTTGGAAGATCAACAGGTCTCCCTGGGGCAGGGTCAGCCAGCAGCTGCTCAAGATAAACCGCTTTTCTGCCAACTCAGGCCTTTCTCTCACACAATTAATGAGATCCTGCGGTACTTCCCTTGGGAAGCCAGAACAATAGCTGTGAATGAGCAGGTGGCCATGGTCAGGCCTGCCTCAAGCCCCTCACCAGAGATTAGGATTCATATTCCTGCATGGCCCTCTTTGACACACTCTGACCTTGGCCTGCAGGTCCTGGCCCATTGTGGAATTCTGGCTACACCAGCTTCCTTCTGTCCCCAGACTGACTCTGCCCCATCCCACCCCTAGGATCTTTTATCTTTTTTTCATGTTGCTGGGGATGGAAGACAGTGCTTCACACTTCCTTTGCAAATATTCTACCACTGAGCCACAGTGGAGCCCAAATGCACCTGTGTGTTCACAAGCATTTGCTCCAGGATTTCTTTCTGCTCTGCTGGAACTTCTTCCCTGAATCCTGCAGAAATGTCACCTCTTTATTAAGGCTTTTGTCACTCTATTTCCTGTCAAGATATTAGTTGATGGCTTATTGTCAGTCTCTTAAGCTTCCTGTATTGTGTGCTTGGCAGAGACACCGCTTGGCACAAAGTAGGCAGTCAAATCTCCAGTGAGTGGAAGGATGTGCCTGTCTTCATGCCCTTCTTGGATCTGGACTAGGCTACTTGGTGACCATGCTCAATCTGAGGGCAGGCTGAGTGTAGGCAGTGTCAGCTGTGCTGCTCTCCTAGGCCTCAATGTAGTGGTTTTGGCTCTACTGCAAGTGGGTACACAGAGACTGAAATCCTACAACAGATTCTGGACATATTGTGAAATTGTTGTCAAAGAGAAAGGACTTCACCTGAGATGCTGCAGGGCGCCAGGATGGGCATGGACTCAAAGTGGTTGAGAGAGGGAAGGAAGGTAGGTAGGCAAGGGAGAGAGCCTTGTGCAGGTGCATCCCAGGGTGGAGATGGAAGATCTGAGAAGATTGTAGCAGTTGACCTTGGAAGATGATAGTATGGAAGGTGGAGGGAGGGCTGGAACGGTCCTTGGACTGGAGCTAAGGGGAAGCAGAATTGAGATAGTGGACTCCTGTAGTGGATGGGCAAGGGGACTTCCAGGAGGATCTGTAGAAGAGGGATGATCTACAAGTCTGCAGCAGGAGGAGACATCTAGCGATGCAATGGCTGGGAGGCACTCTACTCTGTGAGGATGGGCAGCTACAGGCAAGCAAGGACTCTAAAAACTTACCTCTACCCCAGGGCCCAAAAACTTGCCTTTAGTACCTTCTCATGCTACAGGTATCAGGCACTTGCCTTACCTCATTTATCCACTCAGAACCAACTCCGAGAGGGAGAAGGAATCTGGGACTTAGGAAGGGGAGGTGATCAAGTCAAGTCAGTGACTGGCTCAACAAAGCCACTTAACTCTATGGAGAGCCTGACCATTTTGAGCTAGAGGAAAAAATACACCCAGCAGCATCAGCAAAGGGCTGGGAGTCCAGACTTAGCTGGAAACAAAGGGGCCATCAGGGGATGGGGAGGAGACTGCTGGAAAAAGGCTGGTGCCCCATGGGGTTGTGGCCTAGTGCCCCCACCTGAGCCTTAGGGGGCCTGCAGCATACACCCCAGTGGACCTTTCAAGAAATGGCTGGGCCATTGTGCAGAAGAATGCCCGGAAATCCCTCCTCCAACAAGGATGGGGGCTCTTCCTCCAGGTCAGGAAACTCCAAGTTGGCTTCCGGAGAGTGGCCTGGGGGCTGGGGTGGCAGGCACCACCACCACTGGTGGGAGGGTTATACACAGCCTTTATGTCCTTTTGTGCCCCTACTGTCTGAGAACCAAAGCAAGCTGCCTAGCTGGGGCCACTGCAGCCAGTGGAAGCGGAGCCTATGAATTCTGAGGACTTTCATAAGTGATGCCACCTGATCTGGGCTTCAAAGGATGGGGAATAAGCAACACTACAGGTAGAGGAGCAGCAGGCCAAGGCAGAGGGGTCTGAGAAGCCACCATGCAGGGGCAAAGTAGGTATTGCCTGGATAAAACCCCTGTACAGCCTACTTTGTATCAGGGCCTGAAGGCCACAGAGGCAGTGTATTGGCTGTGTTGGGCAGGTGCTTTGGAGGAGGATGGGATCCTGAGCCTGTTCCCTATAGGTTTGTCATCTCTGCTTGGTATGGCTCCTCCACGGTGCTGAGGCTCAGAGTACTGGGCAGGGGAAGTGCAAGGAATAGACCTGGCTTGATCCCCAAGACGGGCTTTCTGGAGGTCTAGTGTACCTTACTTGAGCTGAGCAAAAGAATTTCCAGAGCCTCTCCAAGCAGGCTTCAGTGGGGCCGTATCTCTGTGAGGTTGGCTCCTGCAAAGATGTAGATGGAAGGGGCAGTTCAGTCTGACAGTTTTGAGCTCCTAAAGTGCTGGGGCCAGGATGCACCAGAGGTGGCTTGAAGAGTGAGCACAGAGCCCAAGGCCGGTCCAGAACGCTTAGCTGTGACTAGGACAACGGTAGGTGGAGTCTGCGGCCCGACAGGGTGCGGTCCCTGAGCCCTCAGCTTTCCACACTCTGTTCTTTCTCTAACTTCAGCTGCCGGGGAGCTTGCGATTGGCTGTAGGCGATGGTTCACGCAAGGATTGGCTGCTCAAGTCCCGGGGGGTGGGTCCGGAGATGGCAGATCCGCCCCCAGAGACTTCAAATGGGGAGCCCCCAAGAAGTGCCAGCAAACCCGAGGTGGTGCATCAGATCCGCGGCGCGAGTGGACAGAAGGTGGAGATCCGGCCGCTCAGGCTAAAGGGGAGTAGCCCTCACTCGGGGCCCCGAGCCAACCAAAGCGTCCCCGCCGTGCGCAGGGCGGTCTGGGGACCTTCAGCCATGGGGTCAGCATCGTTGGAAATCCTGGGTCTAGTGCTGTGTCTGCTGGGATGGTTGGGCCTGATCCTAGCTTGCGGGCTGCCCATGTGGCAGGTGACTGCCTTCCTGGACCACAACATCGTGACGGCACAGATCACCTGGAAGGGGCTGTGGATGACTTGCGTGGTACAGAGCACTGGGCACATGCAGTGCAAGGTGTATGAGTCTGTGCTGGCGCTGAGCTCTGAGGTGCAGGCGGCACGGGCGCTTACAGTGGGCGCCGCGCTGCTGGCACTGATTGCACTCTTCGTGACCCTGGCTGGCGCGCAGTGCACCACCTGCGTGGCCGCGGGCCCGGCGAAGGCGCGTGTGGCCCTCACTGGCGGTGCGTTATACGTGTTCTGTGGGTTGCTGGCACTCGTGCCTATCTGCTGGTTCGCCAACATTGTTGTCCGTGAGTTCTACGATCCTTCGGTTCCCCTGTCGCAGAAGTATGAGCTGGGCGCAGCGCTGTACATCGGGTGGGTGGCCTCTGCGCTACTCATGTGCGGGGGCGGCCTCGTGTGCTGCGGAGCTTGGGGATGTGCCGGCCGTCCGGACTTCAGCTTTCCTGTCAAGTACTCAGCGCCGCGGCGGCCCACTGCCAGTGCTGACTACGACAAGAAGAACTATGTCTGATGGTGTGGGGTACAGCGGGGCCCCTTCCGGCAGCACAGCCAGCGAACTGGAGGAGCAAGCGACCCCGGGAGCTGCGCGTGACGGCGGCGGGGTCGCGCCCCAAAGACTCCACGGAATGTCGGACTTGGTGCACCGATCCCACAGGACGCAGCCTCAGTCGGTTCTGATTGCCACCATCCAGGCCCGCGCCCTGCCCTGAACAGATGACAAGCACTTGTGAGGACTTAGAGGTTTCCTTTGTGGGCAGTACTGACCACGACTTAGGTGGAACTCTCGAACTCCATACACTACAGATGCCAATTTCTTTCTCGACCCCGAAAGGGGGGGGGGAGGGGGTCTTGGATGCTGCCTTTATCAGAACTCCTACGGACTTGGAAGGGCAGATGGAAGACCCCAGGGCCCCCAGGCCGGAAGGACTAGTATAAAGGGCCTCTTCTTTTTCAGCGAGGGCCTAAGCCCAAGGGACCAAGTGACTTCACTTGGAACTATGTGTATCGCCTCAGCAGCCCCCCAGGTGAGGCTTGTGGACACCACAGCCTGAGTGGAGCTGGTTCACTGCCCTCCTCCAGGCCTGGGGAGAGGGTTGGGGAGGTTAAGAATTTGCTTAGTAAATAGCTTGAACACTCCCACGTGTGTCCTGTCCTCTGTGCACTCATCCCTATGCCCAGTACCCCTACTCCCCTATTCCCCACTAGAGGTTCCTATAGAGAGCTCTCAGGGATGGCAAACCAACCCCCCATCCCCAGGATCATGAACTTTTCCTGCCTTCCCTGTCACCTGGTCACCTTCCCATCAGATGTGAAGATAGCTCCCTGCAACTCAGCAAAGTGGGATGACCCCTGTGCACTTCTGCGGGGGAGCAGAGTTCCCAGCAGAGGACCAAACTGGACACTCACGGTCCTAGGGACTTGGGAAGAGGAAGGGCTGAGTGTGGGTGGATAGTCAGGCTAATTTCTTCCAGGAGAGACCCACTTTCCTACAGAGAGCACAGGGTGAGGTTTCCACCTCCCCTCTAGGGCTTGCCTTGCTCTGAGAACCATTATCATCTGTGTAACAGAGGCCCACTTTAACAATGGGGTAGTAAGGACTGAATCCAGGATGCAAGCTGGTTCTAGCAGGGCTTGCTGCAGGTCAAGTGTTGCCATGGGGAGGGGCCCATTGCCCAGAGTGCCTGAGCTTGACTCCAGACTCTTGTCCTGCTCCTCTACCAGTCAGTGTGGCTGCAGAGTCTATGCCCATCCTAGACTGGTGCCAGGTATCTGCACCTCTGTGCTGGCTCTACTGAAGTACCCTGAGTAACTTAACTACTGGGAGACAGGGAAGCAGAAACACAGGACAGCTCCTAGGAGAACAGACCAATTTATTAGTCACCGAGCTGTTTCCAACACTGTTCTCAACAGTTTTATTTGAAACATTAAAAAAAAATTATTTATTTGATACAGGGTCTTGCTATGCAGCTCAGACTTGTAATGATCTTCCCATCTCAGCCTCCCCAGCACTGGGATTACAGGCGTGCTCCACTCATGCCTGGTTTTGGTGGCTGGCATGGTGCACCTGGGGTTCCGGACTGTCAAGGCATGTGGTACCAGGGATCAAAACCAGGTTCTTGTGCTTGCCAGGCAGGTGCCTAGACACTAAGCTATGTCCCCAGCCCATGTTCTGGACACTCTGAACTGGAGTACTTTTACCTTTGCCCAAAGGCCAGCAGTAGGAGAGAACAGTAGATAGGGATGAAGAAAGCAAGGTGCTCAAAGTCAGTCAGCAAGAAGGCTTGGCATTTGCCCCAAGCCCTGGTCTTGAGAATCTATTCAGAAACACCTGGGCCATATCCAGTAGCACAGCCCCCCAAGTATGGCCAAGTTTCTGACATGGAGGAGAACTCTCAGGATATAGGCTCATGCCAAACTGTCAAACCCACAGGGGAGCTGCAGTTAGGACTTCCAAGGGGGCTAAACGTTCCAATGGCCTGAAGCCTAACAACAGGATGAGCTACAGAGGTCCTCAGCAGGGCCTCAACTCAGCCCTACCTCAGGCTGTACAGCAGGGACTAAAAACAGCCCCAGTCTAGGTTATGTGATCCTGGAGTCAAGACCTAAGTGGGACCAGATAAAACTTGATACATCTGCAGTTGGGTAGTGCAGGGGTCAGGATGTGTAGCCAGGGGCTCCCTGGGGGTTCATGCCACATAATTCCTCTCTGCAAGTGCTCTGTATTCAAGGTGGCTACACAGCTCAAAGCTTTTCCAAATGGGCATAGTAGGTACCTGAGGGACCTGGAGAGCAGGCTACCATCCACCTGACTTGTGCTGGGAAGGGCAGGGGCTAATTCCAACTGGTAACTGGCACCACAAGAAGATGGGGGTGACAAGCCAGTCACACAGCTCCAGCCCCACTGTGCCCACTGCCCTTCCTCAAGGACAGACCTACCTAGTGTGGCCTCACTTCTAAACCATTCTTTGTGGACTTTTCCCACTAATTTAAACCTGCCCTGAACACTTCTGACTTCAAGGGCTGCATCAAACAATGCCTTCCTCAGCAATCCATGATCACCTCACAGGTGATCTTTTTTCCAACCCACCTGCCACCCCAGCACTTGTGTCCCCAGGATGTGGCCACAGAAGGCTCATGGGAACAGCTCATGTGGGAGGGCAGGAAACATGAACCACACTCTTCTTACCCCCCAAACCCTTCACATTCATGGTGCTCAGGGGACATCTGGGAGGGCTGGGACAGCTGACCCCAAGGCTCCTCTGACTGGGAAGCTCTTGATGTTCTGGGCCTGTGGAGACTGCTGAAGTCCCAACAAGCTTGATCTTCTGTAACAAGGATGTGAGTGATGCCAATGGCAAGGCCTGGGAGACACTCTGCCTCCATGCAGGACTTGTTCAGCCAGCTGAGCTCTTGTTGTCAAGGCCAGCTGGACAGAAAGAAGCAATGGGCAGGTAGACAGAACAAGTCCCGTGTGGCACTGCTGGGCAGTGGTTGGTTCAGGGACTGTGAAGAGAAGTAGGTGCTGAAGGGTCTTGGTCTCTTTCTACTGCCATTGAAGGCCACATCCTGTGCTTCCTGGTCAGCATAGAGGATGCTGGGAGCATAGGACCACAGGTACTCTGGACCCCAGGAAGTTTCAGGCTATACCCAAGCTCTGGGCTCAAGACCAGAGCCAGGAAGCGGAATAGAAACTAAAAGAAGCATTTTATTTTATTTTATTAAAACCGCCATCACTGCATTTGAAAATGTCCATAACTTACAATCTAAATAAAAGCCAGGTAATATAAATAAGGAGAAGGAAGTCATTTCTGAAAAAATCAAATTCTGGAAAAGAAAAAAAAGTAAGTTGCAAACAATTCTGTTGTTTCCCTAAATGTAACACACTACACAGGCCTGCTTCTCAGCAGCCTCAAAGCTGGGGGTAAGGGCAAGTGTGTGGGGGTAGAGGGTCATCCCAGATCCACCAAGGCACCCACGGCCTTCATTGCACACTCAGCCTAGGTCCAAGCTGTCACCAGAGTGACAGCCCTGAATATGCTCGTGGCCTCTAGCATCTCTTCATCTGTAGCTCTCTCACCAGGCGTACGTTCCTGCCTGAGGCAGTGTCATGCTGGACTCATAGAGATCTCTCTCCTTTTCTGGCCAGTCTTCCTTCCACTCTATCTCCCAGGGCTTTATGCCAATCTGGTACCTGTCCCCTCTAGCTGCCAACTCACTATGGATGGGGGAACAGGGGCTGAGAGAACCCCCTACATCAGTGCCTTGGAAGAGCCATTTGCCAAGGGAATAGCCTCCAGCAGAGCTCTGGGAGAGGCAACACTGGGTGTGGTTTCCACTATGGAAGTCCTGGGATGAGACTGCCACACAGACAAAGGGAAGGATCCCACCTATCATTTCCCAAGGGGCATCAGGTGGGGCAGTGGGAAGGGCCAGATTGAGGTGTGCTGGGTCAGTCGGCGTGCCTGTGAGTAGCCTGCAACAGCACATCCTCTCAGCATAGCTGTGTACTGCTAATGGCTCACAAAGAACTGACATTTTACAATTTGCAGCCAAGCAGCTGCCAACAACTTTGCTTTCTCAAGAGTCTCACATACAGAAGACCTGACAGCTGACTCTGGGCTCCAGCCTGGGGCCTGACATGAAGACTGTGTGGGCAGGAGGCTCTAGGTGGCCTCTGGGGGTAGCACCAAGGACTGCATGTCACACGCATTGCATACACAATGCCCAGCCCTGCAGTGTGGTCAGAGGGTGAATGCCAAGTTTTTCTGAAGGGATCAAAGGGGCTTAATGAAATTAGCTTCCTCAAAAATGCCCCATTGTGGTCCTGCTGGCAGCCTGAGGACAGACATTCTTGGGAAAAATGTGTTGGCTCCAAATCTCAAGTACCCAGCTCTGATTCAAAACCCAAGTAAAAGTCTCCACTGAGGGAGGGCCGAAGCCAGAGTCAAGGCAGGCCTGTGATAAGGCAGCTGGCCCACCATCCCAAGGACCTCCCCAACCCCACAGCTCACCCTCAGGACAGCAGGGAGACGAGAGCATCAAGGAACTTGCTCCGATCCTCAGTTTTCAGCTCAATTACTGAAGTAATGAAAGAAAAACATCTTTTAACAAGGGAGTGAGAAAAACAAGCAGGGCACATGTACTCCCTCTTCCTGACATTCTCGGGGAGAAACCCTCTACTGCATTCCATACTGGGCAGGAACTTCCACGGCCTGGGATATTCTAGGTATTTTGGATTCATCTCTCCATCTGTTGGCTGCACAGGTGGAGAGGTCAGAGCAGTGACCTTCAAGACAGCCCCTCTGGGCAGCCAGCGACAGGCAATAACAGCTAACAGAAGGTTAATGTAACTCAGAACAATACAGATCTGCAGAGAGTTGGGCTGCCCCCACTGTAGGTGTGAGAAGTCCAAGGTGGGGCAGGAGTCCTCTTTAGTCTGCTCTGCCCACTACCACAGTTTCAGTGTCTGCTGTGGAATGGGTTATAATACAAACTGCCTGCATCTTGAAGAGCCATCAAGCTCAGCCAAACATGTGAACCTTCATCAGTCAGAACAAAACCAGGCCCTGAAACAGAGCTAGCTTATCTTGACAAAGGTCCACAGCCAGGCCCAGCCTATCCAGGAAGGTACTGGCCACAGCTCACTCCACACTTCTCACCTGAGGTTCTCTAGGCCTCTCTAGGCCTCAACCATGCAGGCCCCAAATCCTCCCTTGTATAAGGGAGGTGGGACACTGTGTGTAGCCAGCTGTAATCAATTGCTCCTACATGAGGGGTAAAGAGGAAGTAGGGGCTGTTGCTTGGTGCGATGGATACCACACAACCCCACAATGTAACTGCTCTGGTACAAGGAAGCAGGCTTCAGAAAGCCAAACAACCTGAACATAGACTGGGTCTCATAGGACAGAGTCAGAAGGTAATGATGTAAGAAAAGGTCCTTGCTGAGAAATTCAGAGAAAGTACTAAGGTGTTTTATAGGCTGAACTGTATCACCCAAATTTCCATGCTGAAACTCTGACTTCCATCCCTCAGAATGGGACTGGATTTGGAAACAGGGCCTTCAAAGAGGTGAATGAAGTAAAATGACACATTCATGGTGGCTCCTAATCCTGTGTGCCGGGTGTCCTTCTAAGAGGATCAGGATATAGGTACATAAAGAAAGGACCATGTGAGGCTACAGGGAGACTACAGCCATCTACCCAAGGTGAGAGGCTACGGAAGGAAGCAATCTGGCTGACATTGTGGTCTCAGGGATCCAGCCTCTAAGGCTGTGAGAAAATAACCTGTATAAACCATCCAGTCTAGCTGTGCTCTGCAGTCCTACCTCACTAGAGAAGAGCAGTGATCAGTCTGTTTTAGTTTAAAATGTTAAGAATAAAAGGCAAATATAGCTAAACACAGACCATGTACCAGGTTGGCATCTGAGGAAGCTGTTGCCAGTTTGTATCCTCTCACTGTCATGTGCGGGGCTCACTCAACGCACAGAGGGGCCAGGAGTCAAGCCCTCATACTGGGATCATGCTGTGGCCTCAGGCAAGACTTTCTACAATGACACAGGCTCTGGCCCATAACATGGTGGAACATTCAGTCAGGTTGCTGCAGCCCTGCTGTTTCCTTGCCCACTCCAGGGCACTGGAGATATGACCCTGAGTGGTGAGGCTGGGTCCAGAAGATGCCTCCAGCCAGTATTTGGATCTTTTGGTGGGCTGTCAGGCCACAGCTAGAGCACCCTGAGTCTCTGGGAGCAGCTTTGCCTGGACTGGTTCTAGGAGAACAAGAGAGCTGTTGGCCAGGCTGGGCTAATTAGCACCAGCTGATCTAGTTGCTAGGCCATCACTGACCTTGCAAGATGGCAAAAGCATGGTCAAACACTTGGGACTCCCACCTGAGAGGTCAAAGTGGTTATGCAGTGTCCGGGAGTTGGTGCTTTCTGCTGCCTTTTCAAACGCTCGTCCAAAAAAGCTGCAGATACAGGACAGACATATTAGAGGCCAGGCCACCTCCAGAGGGCCCTTTCTTTCCCCTGACAGACACTGAAGGCCAAACATCCCTCAACTAAGGCACAGGACTAATGGGCCAATGTGCAGATTATCCAAAGCTCTTCTTCCATCCCTGCCATTCTCAGGTAAGTAGACAATGCTCACTTCTTTCTGTCTGAGCTGTCGGTCTCCGGGGGAATGCCCACCATGGTCACTGTGCCCTGCTCCACACTCAGAGGGGCGGCCATCACCAGAGGCAGCAGCTTACAGCGTCGGTTCTTTGTCTACAGAGATAAGGGTACCCTCAGTTACAGCATAGCCAGATCCAGCTCCATGCAGTACACGCCATCTAGTACCCAGGACACCCACTGTTCTGGGCCACTCCCCAAAATCCTCCAGGTACTGTCCATCACCAGAGGAGATGCTAGCGTCCCCACATGGTGCTTTGGAACCAGATTTCTATTATCCAGCTTCACCCCAATGTATCTTGGCTATTTCCTACAGAGGCTCTGCCTTGCGGTTCCCCCATCGCCTCCTTCAGGTCCTGCTGCAGCTGTCAACCCCTCCAGAACCTCTTCTCCTGTAACTTTCTCTGTTGTGTGAGCCACTATCTAAAACTACATGCCTTGACTCTTCATGTGGTCCCCTCACCTGCATGCTCACTGCCTCAGGATGGAGACTGAGTGCTTTCCTTACTACTGAACCCAAAGCTCCCACAACCCTTCAATCTATGTGGCTAAAAGTATTTATGCAGACTGAGGAGCGAACTGGAGGACAGGTCACTCTACACAAATGGTTTAACATGTGATAATTACTCAATGAATGGATCCTGTGAGGTGGATATTTACCCATTTTGTGGAAGAAACAGACTCAGAAATCTCTATCGTACATCACACAATGATAAATGAAGGGGCTGAGATTTGAACTGAGCCTAGAAGGCTTTAAAGCTCAGGTCTGACTCCTAGTTCGCCTTCTGACATTACAGTAATCCCTTTGTAGCCACTGAGGATTGGTTCCAGGATCCCCATGGATACTAAAGCCCTAGGAGGCTCAAGTCTCCTACATAAAATTATGTAGTATTTGCATAAACCCCTGAGTAAATACCAGCTGAGTTACAACTGTGTTCCAAGCCAAAGTGAAGAAGCATGTCAGACTACATGAAAGATAAACTTACATATAAAAAGTTAGCTTAAGAGACACACTTGTTAGAAAACAAGTCAGGGTTATAATCAACTCCATCTTTTCTTGCTCTATCTCTAAACTTAAGCCCTCACCCCACTACTCTGTGTAGCCTCTCTTTACTTTTTTGAGCCACTTGGATAGCAAATGATGTAGTCAGGACTTGTGGGAAGCAGAAGGCTCCTAGAGGTCAGTTGAGGACAATACAGCTCAGAGAAAACAAGGGATACTCTCAGCCCCTACTGTTGGTGAATAACTATAGGTACCTATAGGACACTGTCTTATCACTAGGTTCAGAGCACTCACCAAGCATCTGCCCTCCTGCACTCATGCCCCACCCGCCTGGCTCCTCACCGAACACACAAAGGACTTGAGCAGGTGTCTGCTGAGCAGGCTCAGGGAGACTGGCTTAGAGAACAGCACAACATCTGGAGTGCCCTAGGATGGGGAGACAAGCAGTCAGAGGAGGTTACTAGCAGGAATGGCTCGGCACATAAGCATCTGGGGAAGCCTGACCTCCATGAGTGAGCAGTAGAGGAAAGGCCCCTGGGAGATAACGAGGTTGGTGCAGAGGCAGCTGGCAATGGTCTGCTGCGTGGCTTGCAGTTGCTTTTTGGCAAGTTCCAGGCCCAGGTACAGCTTGTCCAGGTTATTCCTGTAAGAAGGCAACATTCACCTTAGACACTGCTTGTTAGGAACTCTTGGTAAAATATCTAAGTCACAAATAGAGCACTTGGTTCCTGGTTCAGGAAGAGATCTGAGAATAAGAATTTATCTTTTCTCTCCTTAAAGTCCCTTTCAGATGAAAAGAAAGAATAAAAAGAAGTATATCTCAGAGTGATAGAAATGAGAGGTGGGAAGAGTGCTGGCACCAGGAGACTGAAGATCCTGCAAAGGTCATAGGAAGGTGTCCAGAGGACTGTGACAAAGGGGAGGCTAGGGCTGTGGGTGGGGGAGCACTGGGAACTCCTCCATCCAACAGACAGATGCGTATTCTTCCTCTCCAAAAGGGAAGGCTCCCCTCTGAACACATGAAAGAACCTTCTAGTAGGGCCTTCAAGCACAGCTTCCATGTCCAGCTTAAGAGTACCAATATATCATATTTGGCAGCCTACATACTAGGATGAAGTGGTGTTCTGGCCAGCAAGCTGTGCCCACATGCCCAGAGCTCTGCCAAGATTCCATAGCCCCTTCCTGAACATGAAAGACATAGACCATTTAGGAAACACCTGTGCCCTAAAACATGACCCTGGGATGAAACACAATTTAGAAACTAAAAAAATCTTGAAATCTACTATCTTCAGAGATTCGGGCATCTATTACATTCCTAAACCAAGAATGGGATTCTATAAAAAAAGGAACCATCAGAAACTAGAAAGTGTACATGGAAATTAAAGTAATTGAAAAAAAGTTCACTCAAAACCTAGAGGACAAAGTCAAGAAAACTTTCCTTACTGTCTATAACAAAACAAAATCATAGAAAATAAAAGGTAAAAATATAAGACAAAATATTATTCCAGGAAGGCCAGAAAGCAAGATTAAAAAGTGTGTGTGTGTGTGTGTGTGTGTGTGTGTATCTGTGTGGAGATGTTTAGTAAAGAAATAGTAAGAAAAGCATTCCTTAAAAAAAAAAAAAAAAAAAGCAAGAAAGAAAAGCATTCCTGCAGCTAAGAGACCTGGCTTTATAGGTGGAAAGGGGAACCTGAGAATATAGTGAAATGCATGGAATAGGATATACCTAGACAAAGCACTACAAAATTGCTGAATACTAAAAACCACAAATGGAGATCCTAAAAACTTCTGGAGGTAAGGATGGGGTTGGGCATTTACAAAGAAACAAAACTCAAAATAGCCCAGACTTCTTATTCACATAACACTGGCTGCTGGAAGACAGGCATAATGGAATCCAGTTTTCAGAAATCCCCTCAATCTCCAGTTCCTTATGAGCTCAATCAAAAGTCAGATGGATAGAAAACTCATATTGTTAGAATCAGAATTCAGAAAGTTTACTTTATGCTCACCCTTTCTTTGAAATCAGTTTCTATGTATTTATTTATTTATTTATTATTATTATTATTATTATTATTATTATTATTTTTGATACCAGAGATCAAATTCAGGACCTTGCACTTGCCAGGCAGGTGCTTATGCCTCTGTGCTACATCTCCATCCCCTTTCCTTGAAATCAGTTGAGTGCTATATTCTAGTAAAATGATGGGGTGAATGAAAAAAAGACAAGGAATGCTAAGAAATGCTGGCTTTAACTACAGAGATGCAGACAAGGGACATTTACGGTGACAATGGGTAGCCCACCTGAACAGCCAGGTTAGGGTGGGCCTGAGCATTCCCCAGACTCCAAAATGTAAGCAGGTAGGAAAAGACCACCAGCCGGCTATAAGGCTAGTATATTGTCAACATCTGTGTGAGAGTAAACAGAGAGGTGGTGAGTCATAAAAACAATTAAAAACTCCAGGCTCTGGAGAATAGTCACTCAAACTGAGAAAAGCAGGTGAGTCCAATGGGCCAACACAGTGTGCAAGCATCTAAAGTGTAAGGGGCAGAGGAAAAATGCAAAGGGCCAGGCTTAGAGTATAAGGGGCCAGAGAAGTGCACCCCGTATAAGTCCCTCCTGACTCTCCATAACTTTCTGCACTGGGCCTTTCACTGAGGACAAACTGTTGAGAATGGAGTAACAATTAAGCAAGGACGAAACAATAAAAAAAAACAAAGAGAAAATAGAGACAAAAATGTATTACGGGGCCAGCCAGATAGCTCAGGAGATTAAAGCACCTGCTGATGCAGACACAGGGGTGGTTTGATCCCCCTTGTGCTGTGCTGGCCTTGTCCCCAGGGC